AATTTCATATTTTTAGATATTTTTCAGACCTATTACCGATACTAAGTAGCAACCAAAAATTTGTATCCATTTTTCATGATATTATGCATGGGTCGGATATATTATGTCGAATATTCAGTCGATTCCATTGTGTCTTCCACAATAGAATCTATTTTTATAATTAAATTAAGTTTTTGAGATAAATATATTATTTTAAAAATTTATAATTTATTTGTTTTTATACAAATATATTTTTATATATATTTTAGAAGTTATATTATATTATTTATTTATATTAATTATTATTTTATATAAACTTTGTATAAGTAGTATATAAATAATAAAGGTAATATAAATATATATATATATATATATATAATATTATTATTATTTATAAAATTAAATAATATATTTATTTAAAGTATTATATTAATTATTTATTTTATATCAATTTTTTAAATAATATATTTATCTAAATAATATTTATTATTAATTTTGAAATAAATAATATAATATAATTTAAATTTATTAATATATTTATTTTTTATTTAAAATATTATTTTCTATTTCTATTAATTATAAAATTTATATAAAATAATAATTAATATAAATAAAATAATTAATTAATATAATATTTTATAATATAAATACAAAATAATAAACAAATTATTATTTTTTAAATAATATATCTATTTAATAAAATTAATTTAATTATTTAAAAAATAAAAAAAACATAATAGAACTTTAATTTTATAAAAGAAAAAAATTACATTGAATTCGTTACAGAGAATACATTTTGAATACAATTTTAGTTTTTTATAGTGTAACGTAACACGATTTAATCCTTTTTATAAATTTTAAAAAATTGATCTATATCTCTATAATTAGATCTGAATCTTTCCTTCTAACGAATAATTTCAATTTTCAATCTATACTAATATTAATTATTTTACATTTAACAATTTTATAGAACAATCAAATGTCAAACCGAAAAATTTAACTCGGTTTTTGAAATAATTTGGACATTAATAATTACTAGTTGCCAAAAAATAATTATTAATAAAGTTGATAAATATTCACGCCAATAATGTATTTTTGAACAATATACGATGTTGTCTCATGAGAAAAGAAAAAACTTATAGCAAAATGTAAGCTTTCAAAATCTGGAAATACTTGGAAGTATAGAGTCTTTTATTGATTTGATGCGCACTTAGGGTTCCAAGCTAATCGATGATCGTACGGTGTGTGAATAAGAGAGAATAAAGCAAGAGATTGCAAAATAAAAAGTCTATAGTGGTGGCCAAAAGTTATATCAATATGCATATTCTATTTAGGTCTAAGTTCGTCATACACCAACTTGCTTGTCAACAGCACTAATGGGTCATACAGCCACATACTCAATTCAAATTATAAATAATTCTAATCTTCTTTTTTTGTTTGTGTTGTGGTCATTATTACTAATTTAAGAAATCAAAGTGAACAGACAAAAACCTATCCCTCTGGGTGCCTAATGCCTATTAGATTTAACTTAGGAAAGAAAACCAAACTTAGGAAAGTGTTTGGTCCCAGAGTAAAAGACATTCTCCCATGGATATCATTATTGTTTAAAGATTGATTATTATAAGAGAGTCAAATATATAAGATCATTCAAGTCCTGGCACACAAAGCTTGGAGTATAGCTAGGACATATAGTTTATTAATTAGTTGAAACCTAACCATGCATAAAAACCAAAGGTGGTCTATTGAAGAATGCATGTGATGCTGGTTTTGTTGACAACCCCACCACTTCTATTCTTAATGAACAAAAAGTTTTATGGAATAGTCAAGAGTTAACGCACACATCCAATGCCGACTATGTCTAGAGTTTTATATGTACAAAAAGGAGTTAGATTGTGGAGGAAATTATTTGCTTAGATATCAGAATTTAAATGTAGGTGGAATGCTGGTACGAGTGACAAGTTTTATATTGGATAGGAGTATAAATATGGTGCGAATCATTAAAACTAGGGATCACACTTGTGCGGCAAGGAAAGTTTGGGTAATACAACACTTATTTATATTACTTGGGTTTTACATAAAATTTTGTGTCTTTCAACATGTTTAAGTTTGTATGTAGATACTAAATTTAATCTCTATTTATTTTAACGGTAATTAGGCGTTCATAATTAGATTTATTATCTCACTAAAAAAAACTTATTATCTACAAAATATTATCTATTGACACAATTTCAACTCAATACCTTAGAGTTAGAGATCAATACTCCAATCACTAAACTATTAAGATTTTTTAATAATAAGTTATATTTATTTACAAATAAAGGTATATCTACGTAAAAATATAAAAATATAAATATATAAATATGTAAATATATAAATATATCAAACTATATAAATATATCAAAATATAAATATATTTGTATTTATATATTTACACGGATAAATATAAATATAATTTATTTATAAATTATTATTAGAATATCCTAATAGCTTAATGGTTGGAGTATCGGTCTCTAACTCTAAGGTATTAGGTTCAATTTTGGTCAAGTAATAATTCAAAAATAAATAATAAAAATATAATATAAAGTATAGGTAATAATAAAAAGTAAATAAAAATATTTGGTTCAAAAGAGTGCATTACCTACATATTTTTGCCATAATAGATTTTTTTTAGTGTCTATTATTCAATTAAAAAAAATGTTGTTCGATTTTTAATGATAAAGACGAGGTTGATATGGTAAAATAATATATTATTAATAATATATATATATATATATATATATATAAGTTTACTAAATAAGAAATATAAAACAATTAATTTATTAATATTGTCATTGTATAACCATTCATCAACCAAAGTCGTTTTCCATATAAAATAAAAATGCAAACCTATAACAACAATACGGTAGAAATGATATTATTTGCATAAAGTAGAGATCCGAGATACACTCCTATTTACTTAAGGGGTGAATATGAAAATTTAAAAAATATAAAAAGTTTATAAGTTAAATTTATAAATATATAAAAAATATATTTAATTATTATTAAATTTGATAATTAAAATCATAAATGCACATCTAAATTATAAAATTTTAGGGGGTGAAAGTCTGTTTACCTTTAGGTGTGTTTCGATTAAGCCCTTGTTTGCATATATGAATGTACTCTAGTCGAGGAAATGAGGGAAGGTGCAGGTGTTTGCATATGCTAATTTGAGCATATTTAAGAGGAAATGAGAGGGGAAAATGTCAACGTATCCACCTTCTCTTATGAAAAATAAATGCATATAATTAGGTGAAATTATCATTTTACCCTTTCTTTTATGTGATGGTCTTGCAAAGGTGCACATGCACCATATAAAATCTTTGCTCTGCAACAAAGTGACATTGACCAAAAACTATGTGTAATTACATGGTCAAATTGTCCATTGCAGTATGCAACTTGAGACTGTGCTACATCATGCACATTGAACACAGTGGTGTTGCACTATTCAAAAAATATCATCTCGTGAGGAAAGGTTTTTTTCATCCATAAATACACTCATTCTCGCAAGTGAAGGTTGCGGTTTCCTTCTTCGTCCATTCCCATCACTCATTTCCAGTTTTAACAAGTTCTTTCATCCAAATGAAGGAAGGATCGAGTAAGAACAATTATAGTTGTTGTTCTTTCAACTGTATTTGTTGTTCTTTTAGGTGTAGTTTGAAAAAGGAAAGGTATAATCAAACCTCTCACTGCATCTTCAACAAGCTTAGGAGTCAAGTAAGTAAGTTCAGTCATGACTTTGTTGAAATATTTGTTGATAGTTGAATAACTGTTGCTCATTGATTTGTATTGGATTGCATGACCATAGATATAGACATGAATATCCTTCATGTACATTAGTTAAATCCAGTACTAAAGAGAGAATTAGAGGATCATATTCGATTATGTAACAAGCCATAATCGAATATTTTTTTCTCATAATCGATTATGTTTTACCTGTTCTCGAATATCAGGTGTTGCATAATCGAATATGGGTTATGCATAATTAATTATGTAATAACCCATCTTCGATTATGTTTTAATTTTGACGTTATGCAACCATATAATACAGGAAGGGGATTGTTACATCAACTAATTTTTAAGTTAAATTTCAGAAATTTGATGTTAGATTTAGGAGATTATAGGTTTGATTGGATAAATTTCAAAGCTTATAAGTTTGATTCGAGAAATGTGTGATAAGATATTTAAAATTATAACCTATATTTAGTACATTTTAAGTTGAATTTGAAATCTATTAATTTTTATTTGAGAAATTTGTGGTTATGTATGAAAAATTAAAAGTTAGATTAGATAACTTTTTAGTCGATAACAATTTGAATTTCACTTTAATTTTGAGTTTTTATTTGTTAAAATCCAAAAAAATGAAAAACAAAAACCTGATAGTCAAAACATAAAAGATTTTGAATAATTAGTAATAATAATTAATTATAATATAAATAATTGTCATATTGGTGTTTAATTTAAATTTAATAATTAATATTTTTGTTGGTATTTTATAAATTGTCTAGGACATTAAATTTTGAAATAAATAAAAAACCCGAGAGTTGATATCTTTTTAGTGATAATAATTAATTAAAATATAATTAATTGTCAGAGCTTAGTTTAGATTTAGTAATCAATTTTATTTTGATATTTTATAAATTTTCTATATTAGGACATTAAATTTTAAAATATAAAAAACGTGAGAGGTAATTTTTTTAAGTAATAATAATTAATTAAAATATAATTAATTACCAAATTACTCTTTAGTTTAAATTTATGATTTATGAATAAATTTTATTTTGGTATTTTATAAATTATTTATATCATGACATTAACTAAATATATATATTTTTTAATAAAATTTAAAGTTAAGGTATAATTTTTTATTAAAAACATACCAAAGTTAATACATTATTTTTAACTAGAACTTTATTAGTATTATTATTCATAATATAGTATAATTAATGAAAATAAGATGTTTTTTGTGTACATAAGTTAAATACTTGAAGAGTTTGAATGATGTTTTCACCGTGATCATAACAAGTCACAAAGTAGGAGTTTAGACTACTGTAATTTATTTACCATAATTTTTATTTAAGATGATTGTAATTATTAATTGAATAATTACATGTTTTATGACTATAATTATTAATTATGAATTTAATTTTTCATTCAAACTTTACACCACCTTTTAGTTTTATTTTTATAAAATTTGGATAATGTACATTATGTCCAATCAAATTTTCACATATCTAATAAAAATCATAATTTTCAACCCACTTAATAAACCCCGACAATTTTATTACTATATCTAATGTAAAATAAAAAATTTAAAAAAAGTACGACCAGTTATAAATTATTATTAAAATAATACAATATTCATCCATAATATCCGAAAGCAATGAGGGGGAGATTGATTGAAATGTCCTTACATTTTTAAAAGATGATTTTGATGATGAATTAAGGACAACTACATTCAAGTCAACACCATTCAAGATGAATTAAGGACAAACTGAATTTATGACGTTGGTGAAAATGTGAAACATTTCTCTACATGCCCAAAGATATGTTTTTGATAAAGATGATGATTCAAGCAAGCCCATGATTCTTGAAGACTAGATAGAGTCTTAGAATACTGGATACTGAAGGTACAAGTTGATGAAGTAATATAATGCCTAAGCCTCTAAAGCACAAGTGTAATAAAATTCATAACATAATATTTTTCTCTGTCATAATCAACTATGATGCATCAGAAATGGAAAAATGATTTTTTGTATCATAATTGATTATACTGGTAATATAATCAATTATAGCAATTCAAATTTGAAAAATATATATGTTTTAAAGAATAAATGTCTTTGAATACATCCTTATCTTCTCTATGATATTATTAATATCCAACGACCATTTTCTGATGTTATTTTTTTATTTAATTAAGTTTTGATGAAAAATAAAAAACACACAATTACAGAATTCAAAAATACAATTTACATTCAATCAGTTTTGATAAAAGAATTCTGAACAAGGCAACAAAGATATTTTACACCTTCTGAGAAAATCATCTTCTCTACTGCATTCTGTACTTTCATTGTTAATCACACTTGTTCTTGGAGATTGACATTCTACAGGTTTCTATAATTTGTTGTCTCCATTACTCAGGTGCGTATGTTCTTATTTTTATTACCTTCATCCTTTGTGTATTGGTGGCAAAGGAGGTGTTTTCATCATTTGATCTGTTCAAAGGAGGTTTTCATCCCTAGTGTGATTTTAGGGAGGTGTTCATCCTTAGTGGGATTCTAAGGAGGTGTTTTTCATCCTTTGATTTGTTTAGAGGAGGTGTTCATCCCTAGTGGGATTCTAGGGAGGTGTTCATCCTTAGTGGGTTTCTAAGGAGGTGATTGTCTTTTTAATTAGTTTATTTTTTACTGGTTCTTCTGCTAATTTGATTGTAATTTGTAAACTGAATTTGAAAGATAGTAAATGAAGAGTCACTCTTGTGTTAAGAGTTGACTGAAAACTGGATGTAGGGTTGACTATACCCGAACCAGTATAAATATCTGTGTGCCCTTCTCTTTCCCTTATCTCTTTCTCTTTTCCTAATTATATTATTGCTTCCGTTTTATCTGTGTTTAAACAAATTATTAACTCACAAATAAATTTTTAATTTGACATCTATTTTAATTTGTGCATCTATTCACCCCTCTAGATGTCATTTGTCTAACAATATCAAAAGTTTTAAATATATAATTTAAATTACAATAAAAAATATTTTATAGTTAATATATAAAATAATTTTAATTATATTTTATATATAACATAATATTAATATATTTAAATATTATGTACAATATAAAATAATTAACACTCTTATATTTAATTATATCATAATTATCATTTCTATTTAATTTATCAATTACAATAATAAGGATATTTTGATCATTACGCTAAAAAAGTTATTATTTAATTTTTTTATATTCACTCTTATCAATCACATCAACTACAATAAATCTACTCGAAGTCCCTTTAAATCTTTTTTTTTTCTCATTCCAAACAGCCCTACAATCTATTCTAAATTATCTCAAATTCACTCTTTCAAGTCCCCACCCTAATCCAAACACAACATAAATGATAAATTTGAGGGTGTGAAAAAGAATAGATTTGAAGAGAAAGAGGGTAAAAAGTGTAAAAAAAATGAGAAGAAAGTTTATGAGAAATTGTAAATGATTTGATTAATGTAAATGATAAAAAAAATAATAAGTGACCAAATTAAAAGATTACCAAATTACTTATGTAATTAAAATTATTTTTATTTAAATTATTAAGATGAAAAATAATTATTAATTTTTAAATTATTATTAAAATAATTATTTTTATAATTATAATTTTTATTATATATTAAAATAATTATTAATATTATTACTAATATAATAATAATTATTATTATTATTTATATATTTATTATTATAACTATTATTATTGTTAATAAATTGAATTACAAAATATTAAAATATAAAAGAATTTAAAATTTACTAAACAAAAAATACAAATAAAACTAAAATAAAAATATTTATTTTTTAATATATTATTTAATTATTTATTATTTTAATTAAAAACTTTAAAATTTTTAAAATTATTAAAATATAATAATTATTTTAATCAATTTAATTTAATATCTTCACTTTCTCTTCAATCTCTGCAAATCTCTTCACTTTAAAGAAGGTTCGTCACTTAATGATGATTCTAGATCAATAATTAAAAACCAGTATCAATTGTGGTTTGACATTTATATATTGAAGTCATACTTTATGCTTACATTTTTATTTTATCGTTATTCAATCTAAGTTTAGTGATATTAATTTTAATTGTAAGCAAATGGGTTATAAAAATTCAGTAGATTTGCAAGTTATAAGCCCTTAAATATATAACATTTTCTATTTTTTAAATTTAATATATGAAGGTTTAGGAAAATTGTGCTGTTATTCTCAGGGAGAAGGAAGTAAAATGTGGTCCCAAGTTATTAGGGAAGATTTAGGACAAATGACTCATGTTTTGTATTGGTAGACAATCAACAAAAACTAAGAGATTACATAATAACTGGGTGAATGTTTAGTGACTTTAATTATTAGTTTATAAAAGCTAAAACATCTCAGTTTTAATGCGATCCTCAAACTGTTTAGTTAACTTTCGACCTAAAAGTGAATTTCCATAAGATAAAAGTAATAGAAGTTAATGTGAATTTACCTATGAATAACAAGTTGCATTCTAAATTGCAACATTGGTGCACTTTCAAGTATATCTTGGGGTGTCTATAACGGTGGAATAAGGGAAAGAAAACACTTGAAAACTTGCAAATTGTCACCTTGTGTGACGATAAAGCTGACATTTGAACCTAATTATTGTTTAATCAATTCGGGTACATATTAACATACAGTCTCATGTGAGTACATATATAATTGATTACTACGTGCAATAACATAACATGCAATAATAATGGTAAATCATCATATCATCACTTGGTGCTGCATATGCGCATCATGTAACTAATTATCATTAGTTTGCTAATTAATTATACCCATAATATATACTTACCCGCAGTTTGACATGCACACGCTGATCATGATACACTAACACATGCCTTTTAAAGAAATTGTGGCTGATACAAGGAAGCGTAGCACTTTAATCTTTCCCCTGCATAAAATATTAACTAATCTTAACTGATATATAAGAATAAAACCCATAACCTTTTTCATACTATCAAGAGTGTTGATGACAGCGACATGTCTAAGGAAATATAAAAAGGTGAGAGGAGTGAACCTTTAATTCTACAGTTAAACGCACGTCGAAAGGGTTAATATTAGAATTAAATAAAACGGTAGTGATATTTTATGAATGATATATATAATTCTTCATCTTTTATGGTCTCATTATGTACTGCATAAAATATTAGTAACATTTGTAGAGTGTATGTATTACTTTTCTTTTTATTTTTAACTCAATTACCAGTTCTATTGTGATCATGATCATATGTATGTAGCAGCACAAAATTTTTCTTGTGAGAATTATCACATTTATATAGCAGGATAAAATTAGACAACTATTCTGGCTGCAGAGTAAGGAATCTGCACATATTGAGATGCCCTAGAGCACAAATTAATGTATGTTGATATTGAATTATTTTAATGGCAAGCCAAACCAGTTTGTAAACTATTTAAGGCAGACAAAACCAGGCAAAAGTATTGGGAATCTGCAGAAATGGAAATGTCCCTGAGCACAAATATCTTGATCTGATTGAAATGTATTATTTTTTAAGGTTAAACCAGGTTCTGCAACCATTTAAGAAAGAGCATGATATAACAGAGAGAGAGACGCATACAAAAATGGAAGTCTAGCTGGGAAGAATGCACTGAAGAATTGTGGGGTCGTTAGGAATCAGAAGAAAGTGACTGAAATGTGAAGAAACGACCCTTGATTAAAGTATGCATTCATATGAATATGCCCTCCTTTAAGTCATTCAGTATTAATATAAATAATAATGGGGTTTTGCACGGGTAGAACCTTTGGGGTTATCATGAGTTAAATTTAAAAATGATTGCTGAAATACCATTATTTCCCATGATTGCCTTTCACTTCAGCCGCATATTGATTTTTAGCTAAGATACGATGAATTGGTGATCTCTACATGCCATAAACGAAATCTATAAAGTAGACTCGAGGTGACTGTATTGCTTTTTGATTTGGTGGATGTGAACTGCTGAAAAGACCACAATTGGAAATCATTGCGTTTTGCAGATTGCAACTATGGATTTCGCACGACTCACCATTATTTTTTCAAATATGTATTCACCAATTATGATATCAATGCTCGCAATAGTTGCCTTTCATTATAAATGAATTGACGTCTACTAACTAATTAACCCATCTTTTAAATTTTTTTTAATTCATAAATATCACCTTTTTTTATTAATAGTTCACGAATCGTTTTTTTTTTTTTTATAATTATTACTTGCTAATATGTCTTGTACATAAAGTTCAAACTTCATCTTAAGATGTTGGATAATCAATAGCAAGAGCAAACCTGGGGTGGAGTAATAACAATGCTTAATTATTCATTAGCACAGGGACTATATATAACGTGAGGAAACTTGAAGGATAAATTCATGAATTATAAACATGATTGAACCAAGTACAAAATAATCTCGAATCAAAACTTGGATATAACTTGAAAGAGGTAACATGTTTCTCTTCGAGAGAGTTTAAATTGTTTTTATGATTTTTCGGGGCCAAAAAACTTCTTACATATGTCTCTGTCGATGTGCAGTAGAGGATATGATGCCAGTCATGAAAAGAAACTCACATCAATCAGCAGGAAAAGAAAGCATCTAACTGGGAAATATAACGTGCTATGTAATGTTTATTTTTCACGCCCCAAACTGAGTTTATGATTGACGATTTTTTTCTTGGTTGATGAGTCAGAATTCAAAGCCAATCCATGAAGACAATTAGGCTAGGGTTTGGGAGAGAAATACAGATATAATAAACAAACTCATGAATCTGATTGGTATGTATGTCCTTTTTTTTTTCTTCTAATCTATTCGAATATGAAACTGATTTGAATTTGGATGCAACAAAGTTTTCTTTGTCCACTCTCGCTCAACTGGCCATGAGAAAAATATTAAGTGGGCACAAGTTTTTTTTTCTTCTTGTGTACACTCATTAAATATATAATACTTATATTTATGAATATATTAACTGGTATAAATTTTAGAAAAGATTATGCGCACATCATCTATTTAATCATTAAATATCATCATTTTATATTACTTCTGTTGTGCAAGATATTCTCTCTTTCAACTCAATTCTCACATGTGGGCTTGATAATTTATTTACTTGACTAAAAATTTAACAAAGTTTACAACAAGTTGGTACCTACAGATAACATAAACTATTCTATCTTCTAATGATTATCAGAATGGTATCATGACCAATTCATTTGAGTGCTTTACTTTTTATTATCTACCAGTTAGATTCATGATTTTACTACATGATGTTGATTTTTTATGATAACTAATACAAATTAAGAAATGTAAAAAGAAACACATTGACCATTGTTAGTGCTAGTTGCTTTGTTACAATAAGTAAAATACAATTGCATACATTTGAGTGCTTTGTTATCTGTATTTTTATTGTTAATTATTTCTTGTATTATGCGAATTATCACTATCACAACAACTGTGATGGTAATTGCTTTTATTTATAACAGCAAATATGAAGTGTATTAGGTGAAAGGAAATATCTAGAAAATTGTAATTTCATATAAGCTTATATTGATTACACGTGAAAAATTGTATCTATAAGATAATACATATTTAGTTTTAATATTTCATGACTTCCCATAAGTTTTATTTTACTTCAATTAGAAAATTTCTTTTATGTTTAATCTCATTAGGTAGATTTGAAAAAAAAAAAAAAGTAACTAATGTCATATGTCAAATCAATGATTTTTATGAGAAACATTGACATCACGTGGGCAAATTCTCTTCAAAATTTCAACCTCACGTGATCTTATGTACTCTCTTCTTAGTTCCTAGAGGAGTATCCATCAATCTATCTATGACTATGAATGAGAAAGTCCTACAATTTTAGGTTCCGAATCCTACCACATAACTAACTTCTCGTCCACATCACCATTTCAAGCCTCCTTCGATAATGGGGGGCACTTCAACGCAAAGTACCAAAAACAGAATTTCTATGCTAAATTCATCCAACTATCTACTTTCGACTAAATTTGATTTAATATAAATGAAATATATATTTACTTTCTCTCACGTATGAGAACGAAAACCTCTGTTCTCATAATAGGATCAGGTAGATTAGGTTAACGGAAAAATCATACTAGATTAGACTATTTAACAAGAAAACAATGAATTGGTAAAAAAAAAAAAATCTAATCCTTGAAAATAACAAAATTAGGTTTTAAATAAATTGAAGTTAAATTTCCTTTTTGGTGAAATTTACTAATCTGGCACAAAAAAGTTGACTAAATAAAAGTCTGTTGTCAAAACAAGATTGCAACCTAAGCATTATATGATATTATATGATGAGGATAAGTGTGGCCAGAAAAAGAAAGTGTCATATCATCAAAGATAGTCATCAAATTTAACCTAGACTCCATTATCCCAGCATGCACATAATTGCTTTATTGTGGCACAAAACTTGTTTTTATCTTCTTTTTTGAGGAAAGAACAATCATAATTGTACAGAACAATCTGAACCTACCTTTTTTTGCGGAGGTTCATGCTTGCTACTGTTAGATTGAAACCCATTTGGCAGCAGCATATGAAGACTCTGGCTCTCTGATCCACCAGCTAGATCAGCATGAGTGGATCCATGAATTCAATCGCGATGAGTAGTATCTGTCACTTCTGAAGAAAAAAAAAAAAAAAAGGATAAAGTTCAAAGCGCCGTCAAAAGCACAACTATAGTTATGAACTTGTGGATTTGAATGCCATGAAATAATTATCACTGTACGAACGTGAGACATGGTTCACCCTCTATTGCCAAATTAATGTTTGTCGTAGCAGTTAATGAACACTGTTGTAACTTATATTCTGTACGATGGTACGAGGTAATATTATAACCTAAAACACATGCCTATTTTTTCTTTTTTCTTTTTCTTACTTGCAGCTAGTCATCCACGGACTTATTATTATCGTTCATCATTGGCATTCAATTGTTCATGTCGACTACTTTCATTTTGTAACATGTTTTTTTGTTTCTGGTTAACGTGTTTTGCCAAAGAAAAAGAAAAAAGAAAGTTAAAAATAAAATATTAAATATGAATGATTAGATAAAAATATTAAGAAGGAAATATGTGAGTTTTACACTTTTTTTGGTCTTTTGAAATTTATATGCTTTCATTAACTACATAAATAATCTTTTATCAATTGTTCTGCCTACCTCTTCATCTTTCAAAAATTACCTTTTACGTTCAAGACAGATATTATGATTTTGATGAATAACAAATTTATGAAATTACATTTTTTTTGTCGTATATCATCACCTTACTAAAAATTTAATAAACCGGTAAAACATGCAAAATTAAAATGTTAATGATAAAATTTATAAAATAATTAATCAAGTTAGATGGTTTTCATAATTTATGATTAGTTAAAATAAATATAGAAAATATTTTGTATATCAATTGTATTTGAAATTAAACTGACGATTTGTTTTTCTTCTTTCTTAACAGCTAATATAAAAAGGTAGATTTAAAAAAATAAAAAAATCCAATATAACTTTCTGCATCAATTTGATTATCGAGAAAGTAACTTTTTACGTGGATTCTCGTTACAATGTTGACAATTGTTTTTTTTTAAAGGCTAACCTAGTAAATGTAGTTCTATGGTCTTTAATGCATCAAGAAAAGTGTTTGTCTTGGTTGAGGTTTTAAAATAAATTCTAGATTTTGATTAGACTAATGTAAAAGGTGAACTTTATAAAAGTGAATATTTTTTACAATAGTTGTTGTAAACTGATGAGAACATTATTTATGATAAGGGATAAAATATGGGAAGTAAACGAAATTTTGTTTATCGATCAAATTGTGTTTTAGATTAATTAATTAATGAGTTTTAATTTGATTTTATTGTAAGTTGTAATAAGGGCTTAATTAAAAATTTAGTTATTAGTCTTTGGGAGACCAAGAGGGTGTATAATTGATTGATTTTTTAATGCCACAATTTCAGTTAGAATCATTAAGTAGTTTTTAATTTTTAGGTTAATAAATCATTATTAGGATTTATTTTTATTTAATTAATATTGCTGAACTATTTTTATCAAAAATAACAAATTGAGTTTTGTTTTTAGAAATATTAAAGTTTATATCTTTTATCTCAATGAAAGTGATTTTTCTAAGTTTTTGAGTGATTGAAGAACTTTTAGTCAGTATCAAAAAACTTTCACATCCTTTATGAGTTGACTTCCTTGAAAATAGTGATTATTTTCTTCCACCTTATCACTAAATTCCTAAATTTCTTACAAGATTCTAACCTTAAAAATCCTAAATCACTCATTGTTATTCATATCATAAATAACTTGTATAAAAATATTTTTTATATTAGTTTCAGAAATTATTTTAAAATATCCACATTTTTTATTTGCAGATTATACATCCCCTTACCACCAGTTTAAAATTTAAAAATTAACTTAAAAAGTGAAAAGCAATTTTTTTTAGTGGTGGATGGTAAAAAGTTGAGTCATTAATTTTATCCTTTTAAGCATGTGAAATTATAAAGCTTCTTTAGATCAAAACCTAGTTCACCTACCAAGAAGTCAAATTATCATCTTCACAGTTAATTTTTTTTGGATTTTTTTATTATTTATTATAGGCATAATATGCATTTATTATCATGAACATTTATTATCATTTTTTGAATATTTTTTATTTATAAGATTACACATTGAATTTTTTTTCTGTACGATTTTTCACACTTATTATATTTAATAAAAATATTTTTCAATTAATAGATTTAAATATATATTATAATAATAGTATACGAAAAAATATACCTTATTATTTAATTATGCCTAATATTATATTTAAATAATAAATTAAAACAGATGTAATTTATTATCTAAATAGTATTATAGAGACATATAAATAATATCATTTTACTCTTTAAAACCAACTTACTTTTATTAAAAGACTTCTCTATTTTTATTTTTATTTTGATTTAAATATAATTCATTCTTCTCTATTTTTTTATTCTGATTTAAATATATTTAATACCCATCTATTCAAAATTATTGAACAATATTATTAAAGTCATTATTATTATAATTTTTCATCAATAACATAAATTAATTTTTGAAATATTTATTAAGGATGAGGTTAAGTATAAAAAGGTGTTTTTGAAATAAAATTAAATAATAAAATTGAGTTAGTTCATATTTACTTACGTTTAAGTTCACTTTGCACGATAACTTTTTGTTAATATTTGAATCCAAAGAAATTAATAGATGAAGTTATCTTCATAAATTTTCAAATAGAAAGAATTAGATTAAAAGCGTGAGGATTAAAAATATAAGTGTAGAAATTGAGATTTAAAGACTCTAAGGTTAATTAGTAGAAGAGAAAGTGAAAAGAACGAATTGAAGTTATAACAAAAAGTGGAACACTAGAGTTAATTATATAGAAAAGAAGAATAGATAGATAAAGAATGTTAAAAGGAATAATCGGAAAAAACTTCAAATCAAGAAGTGTATAAATGTTAAAAAGAAAAAACGGTGAATCAGAAAATTAAGACAAGATTGTTATAAAAAGTGAGTTACGAAAAAGTGAGAGAAATATGAAATAATTATAACTAAATTATGTGATGGAGATAATTATAATACTACGTGAGATTATGAGACTACTCGATAAGAAAAAAATGGATAATAAAAAAGTAAATGATTTTTTTAGTTTATTTTTATTTTTATTTTTAAGTAATTACAAATATGAATAATATAAATAAGGATCAAGTGAAAAGTTGAGTGATAACAAATTATATTAAAACACTTTCATTATGAAAAATACTACAAACATAAGGTTTCAATACAATTCTTTGCACTCTTGCTCATCATTTTTATTGATTATTATACTAGTCTCATTTATATTTTTCGTAATTTATTTATTTAAGTTTTTTATAATTTGTATATCTTGCTATTTAAGTTTCCCATCATTTATATTTTTTTTTGTCATTAATCTTTGTAGCAATTTATTTTTTATAATTTACATTTTCTACACTTTAAATTTTTAAGTCTTTATAAGTTTTAGTTAAATTGTAACGAAATCTTATTAAATATGTTCAAAATTATACTAAAAATCTGAATTAATACTCAAGAAGAATGTATAAGTATCTTTATCAAATTAATACGTGAAATTTATACTAATAGTTGAATAAAACATTAGTAAATATGATTGTGTTTTAAGTATGATTTGAAATATTTTTTAAATTAAAAAGTTTTTTATTTACTAGTCTAAAAAAATTCACAAAATATTTTTTGTTAAAAATATTAATATTATTATAAATATTTATCAGAGTACATCGAACCATATTTCACCAAAAATACTAATATATAAGAATTATCAAATGTAAACATAAATTAACCCTTTACCCCTTTTTGTTTTTAATATATATATATATATATATATATATATATATATATATATATATATATATATATATATATATATTAATATTAACGTGATGAGTTGATATAGTAGTTAGGTAATTTATGTTCACACTTTATAAAATCAATTCGCACAACACGATAATTTTATAAAAATTCGTCAAGAGAGTAATATTCATAATACTGAAGAAAAAAAATATAAACATATTTCTCATCAATAAAATAGACACATGTTTCATTAAGAAATAATATTATCAGCAAAAATTTGTAAATATTGATAAACGAATATCAAAGAGATGAGAATTTTTTACTAAATTTACTTTTATATTATTGTTTATTATCAACAAGACGTTTTTTAATCATAATTAAGAGTTAATAAACGTTGATTTTTCAGAATTTATACTGTAAATTATCCCTAATGAGATTAAGAAAAAAAAAAAAAGGTAAAGAAAGTATCTGAATAAATTTTTTCCTCGTTGAAGTTATCTAACAATTTCTTTGTCTCCCTTTCCTCCCAAGTTATAAAAACTTATCATATAACTTTGAAGAGGAAAAAAAATATTCTGATACTTTCTTTGCTTTTTATCTTCTTAACTTCTCAGCGGGAGACAACCATTCGTGGGTGAATCTTAAAAAAGTCTTTTAAAAAAATGAACTCTTCAATAGGTAGGGATTTTAAATATAAACTAAACTAGAAATAGTAGTTAATCGAACTAAATTAAAAGTATAAAAAACTTAACTGTTTCTTTTTTTTTCAACTTTTCAAAAACTTGAATACTAATCTTACCAAGAAAAGAAAAAATTGCGAGAAAAAAAATTAAAATAAAATATAAAATACAATCCAAAGTGTCATGGTTCAATTAAGTAAAAAGTGTCATGAATGGGTAAGAAATATTATTTTAAAAATATATAAATAAATAAAATTTTAAAAATTACATAACTACAAAATTTAGGATATAAAAAATTGTTCTTGCACCTTTTTTTCTCTGTTCGAACCAGGAGAAAAACATAAGATACCCATTGGAAAGCGATATATATATTTATATTTATATACATTAGACACTCCACTAATAAATACGTAGTCAAAGAAAATGTATTATACATTATAAATTTTTTCTCTAAATTTGAATGCAAGAGACATGTTTTATGTTGGTTGAGAAATATACTTGAAGATCAATTATTCCAATAAAAAATTAGGAAAACTTGTGATCAAATATTCAACGAGAATATATTGTCATGTCAAAAATCAACTTAATAAAACATAACCTAAAAAGTGATGTTTAAACACCAGCTAATAATATTTTGTTGTACACACATGATATAAACCACAATTCAAGTAGATTCATTACTTCACAAAAATCGAAAGTGTTTCAGAATATTATTGTGATTGTGGGATCCAGTTAATCGAGCAGAATCAATTTAATTGCTTTCTCTCGTGTTTAAATGAATTTTTTTTTATGTAAATAATATTTTATTCTTCTATTATGTTTCCTGCAATTGAAAATTTTGTAAATTAAATATCCTTGTTAATATTTTAAATAAATAAATAAATAAAAGTTTACTTCACAGAAAAAAAGTAAAAGTAAAACTTAATATTTCATATCATTATTTCCTTATTCAATATTTGTCTACACCATTAAGATTTTTCTTGATATAAAAAGTGTTAAATACACTCCTTAAAACGCAAACAAACTACACTCTTTTGGTTTGATTTAGTTTTATTTTTATTTTTAAAAATAATTTTAGAGATCAATTTTAAAAAACTCTTTTCAGAAACAAATTGAATTTTTTTTTATAATTCTATTTTTACAAAATAATTTAAATGAGAAAAAAATTATATAAATGATCACAACAATTGTAAAAAAGTTGAAAAAAAATTAATTTTGATAACTCTATAATGATACAAATGAATGATTTAACATAATCATGGGTAAAAATGTTGATATACATAAAAACAAAAAATTAAAATAATTTTTTTATCATGTTAGTTTTTTTAATTTTTGAAAACTGAAACAAAATTAATTTTCAAAAATTATTTTAATAAAATCGTTACCTACTATTTTAGTTTTTAAAAACAAAAAAACTGAAACTGTTTTTAAAAAACCACAAATAAACAAACCCTAATAGTCACTAATAAGAAGATATTTTAAATAAGATGGTTAAAATTAATGAAAGTTGAGATTTATTAGTAAATTTTTTAATACATTACATAAAAGGTTAAAATTTAGATATTAAAATTATAAATTAAAACTATATAAACACGTATCACAAACTTTAAATAATGAAGGCTCGATAAAAAAAAAAAGAAAAAAATGTAATCTTTCTTATTATAAATGAATATTTTACTTTATCATATAACGAAGACATAAACTTAAATTTCAAATTAAGTATATAAAAATTTAATTTAAACAAACTATTATTCTAAAATGATATGTGAAACTTATGAATTAGAAAAGTGTGGAATTGGAAATTTTTGATATCTGTTGTTGACCTATCAACATGTTAGAATTGCCACAATATCAGGTGCTATTTGTTTACATGTTTGATGACTTCCTAATGGTTTTTATTGAAAAAACATCCATGTTAGGAAAAAGGTTCTTTTAAAAACACTTTATTGGTTGAAAATTTTGAAGGTCACAAAGTTTGTGGTTCTCCATCTTATTTAACAATGCTCTTGTAATTTTGTTGTTCCCACCGAGTTTCAGCCAATAAAAGAAGTTAAAAGTGTGATATTAGCACTCCTATCGTATGGAAAAAAAACTGTTTATAAATTTTATGATGAATATGAATAACAATATAAACAAAATAAACTTAATTTGTAAAGCCAAATGAATATTTTTTGTGTGACAAATGAATAATTAAAGGTGTACAAAAAGCTAAAATGTATACATATATGATTTGTTTTTCCTTTTTGAAAAAAAAAAGGGATATGAGAGAGGCAAAGTCACTTTTTGGGTTCGCCACTGTGTAAATATCGGGGTTTTGGAAACGAAGGTGCTGACACTAACACTGTATAAATAGTGATTCTTACGTGTTCTATTAGCAACTCATTAACCTTCGATCTCATTTAATAACTTTAATTTTGTTGAAATCCCAAGGTCAGTAACGGAAAGCATTCTTCAATTTTTCATGCGAACCCCGACGTGGGTCTTACAGGTCTTGGCTTCTATTAAATTTATAAATACCAGTGTGGGCTTCATATCCTACGCCAGAAAATCCACTCGCTAATTCATCCATCGCTCCCCCAACAGACCAAACCAAACCTTCTATTCTAATTCTATTCAACCCCCTTCACACAGCACAACCACCATCCTATTTCTCCCGAACCAATTCATATTCAACTTGCACAAAAATAACCAACCATATTCGACCAACTACTCTTCCTCCTCCTTCACCAAGCTGTGTGCTCAACACTACTACGTATTTATACTCATTTTTTCCACCGCTCGCCGCGTCTTTGACACTGACGGTATGTACTCTTACCGTGGTCCATCTAAATTTCATGTGGGTTACTGTAATTTTTTATTTTTTTCATTTTTACTATATACTCTTCATTACTTTGCTTATCCCCTGCTTTAACCACTCTGTTTCTGAACTAAACATCTTTCATTTCCAACTTAATATTATCCCACACAAAGCTCGTTTCCTTGTCCCCCCAGTAGATTATCTTAGTTTTCATAGACTGATATAAAATTTAATTGTGTTACTTATCCATTCGGTGGTGGACTAAATTGAAAAAGAAAGAATTGTGTATAAATTAATGGTAATATGAGGTGGAGTGAATACGCGAAGTGAATTTAAAAAAGAAAGGTTTGGTCAACTGTTGCAGGTTGTGGTTAAAAAATGAAGATCGCAATATCAGCCTGTGCCTGCAAGCAAGAGCTGCCCCTAGTAAGTTTCGAAAAGGGACTAACGATGGAGTCGTTGTTTCATCATCGGAGTAAGGACAAGGTGGTAGTGATAATGGGTGCCACGGGTACCGGGAAGACGAAGTTGGCTATAGACGTGGCAAAACACTTCCAACCAGCGGAGATAGTGAACTCCGACAAAATGCAAGTGTACAAGGGCCTCGACATCACCACGAACAAGGTCACCGAAGAAGAGTGTGCCGGGGTCCCACACCACCTGCTTGGCACTGTTGACCCTAATATAAATTTCAGTGCTAACGACTTCTGTCGCCACGCCACTTCCGCGATCGATTCCATTGTGGAAAGGGATGGCTTACCCATCATTGCTGGAGGCTCCAATTCTTACTTGGAGGCGCTGGTGAATCACCACGCGGAGTTTAGGTTAAGGTACGAGTGCTGTTTCCTCTGGGTTGACGTGTCCCTCCCAGTCCTCCATTCCTCTCTCCAGGCACGTGTGGACCGCATGATCGACGCCGGTCAAGTCAACGAGGTGCGCGAGTTCTTCGACCCTAGCGCCGATTACACCAGAGGGATCCGAAGGGCCATAGGGGTGCCCGAATTCGACGACTTCCTACGCGCGGAAGCTTCTGGAACCGAGGACGAGATTACCAGAAAAAGGCTTCTGGAGGCTGCCATTGCCAGGATCAAGATCAACAACTGCACGCTCGCCAACCGCCAGATTCAGAAGATTCACCGCCTCCACGGGTTGTGGAAACAGAGCATGCACCGCCTCGACGCCACCGAGGTTTTCCTCGGGTCCCGCGACGCCTGGCACGACCACGTGCTCGCCAAGACCTTGCTCATCCTCCACAAGTTCCTTTACGGGGAAAAGAAAGCCCACGTCCCCGCCGGAATCGTTTCCCCAAAAGACGTTATTGCGGCTGTTTCTGCGCCGGCGGTAGCAATGGCAGCAACCCATTAGAGAGAGGAAGTAGGGCCAGAGAATCTATACACAAAAGGTCGCACCATTGGCGCACGCTTCACACTGTGGCATTCCATATCTTTTTTATTTATATATTTCAGGTCATGTCATTGGTAGTAGTAAGTAAATGTTTTACCATATACATCTACATATCTATCTATATATGAATATGAATATAAATATATATAATATATTTTGTTAAACTGCTTGACAGGTTATATATTGAAATATAAATGTATTTCTTTATTTAGGGCGTTCTTTAATCTTTAGGGTTACATCAGTATCAGGAATACTTAAGTGTATTCTGTATAAATTAATTAAATATGTTGTTAATGGAGCATAGCATATACTATCCCTGCTTTGTTGGCTAACGTTGTGGACCTACAGTGTTACCGTTGCACTCGGGAAATGCTTGTCAAATTAGATACTGATGTGACGGAATTTTATTTCTCTTCTGGCGCATAAACTATGATCTTCTTACTGCATACTGCATACATCTTGTGCCAGCCACTGCCACTGTGATTAATAATAATCATTAGGAAAAATCTGAAGAAAAAAATAATATTTGAAGTAAGGCGTCACTGTCAATGCAAAAAAATATTAATGCCTAGCATATCTTTTTTTTTCTTTTTTTTTTTTTTCTAATTCTGCTGTCTTTAGTTGATAGTAATTCTTTTGTTGAAAAGTATAAGTAGCAAGAGCAAGAAACAGTTGGCGACTGTACCCTTCGATTCTGTAGTAATATATAGCCTGAGAATACTCAGCAAGTTGCGCTATCTTTTCTGCATTCAAATCTTGTTGCTAGTTGATGGCTGTACCTTGGATTCTGTAGTAGTACTCGTAGTTTTTAAAACAGTTGAAAAGTTTGTGATATCCAAGAAAAACACTTTTGAAACAAATTTTAAGGTAACACGTTTGTTTTAATCCTGGGAGAAAATCATATATTGTTGGAAGGAGGAGAGAGAATAAGTGAACGGGAAAGAAGTGAAGCATACTGTAAGAGATTAAACGCACTCAGTGACTGAGAGTTTACAGTTCACATTGACTCTGGAAGAGCTTAACAAACTGAATTAAGTCAAAGTTAGGAAAAAGTTATTTCCTAGATGCTGAAACATGGTTTATAATCTAAACCCACAATCTTGATTGATCTTAAAAACCCGAGTGCCGGAACGTTGGAGGTGGAAAACGACGTACAAGAGACGAGAAGCATTATGGGGATGCGTGGAAAACGGTTTGAAGTGGATAGGTTGTGGGGTAACTGTAAACTAGCATACAGCAGAAGAGAGTGAGAGATGAAGAAGAAGAAGAAGAAGAAGAAAGATAAATGGTTTTTATTCTGATTTACTTTGTGGTGGCGTTCCGTACTGATAGTTTGTGGTGCGCCTGGGCTGCATCAAGGCGAGCACGATGGATTTGAAAGTAGGGGTATTTGGTGGGTCCAATATAAAAGGTTGAATTTGATCACAGTTACTGATTGATGTGTGATGGGAATGGGAGTATAAGTCCCATGCCCCACTACTGGTGGTGGGGGCCAGAAGAAGATAATGGCGTTTTGGTCTTTTCATTATTTTCTCCTCATCCAGGATTGGATTTGGGGTTGGACTTGGCCAAGCCCTGCCCCCTTTCACCGTGGAAAAGACAATGTAACATGTACTCCACTACGTACATTTATTAATATTCATTCACTCACATAAACTAATATATAAATATATCACAGGGATATGTCCGTTTCATCCACTTAATGCATTCTCAATCACCGTCTATTCAAGATCCAGCGGGTGAGGGAGGCCAACCCTAACCCCAACACCTGATTTGATTGAATTGAACGTACTTCATAATGTGATCATAGATAGATACATAGATCACCATGATGAGTTGAGCTGGGTTATGATCATTTTCAACTAATGATGGGTACAATTCCTCTAAAGTTGATAGATACTACACTTTAGAATGCGGTATACAATTCCTCCATGGAATATATATATATATATATATATATATATATATATATATATATATATATATATATATTTATATTCATTTTATTATTCACGTTTATTTAACTCATTTTTTTTATTATTATATCTAAAAGCTTGACTGCTGAAACACAGGTTTGTGTATATAACTAATGTGCCAGTAAAAAAATATGCAAAGAATTACCCACTATATTCTTATGCTAAGTGTTTATTGGGAATCTAGAAAAAGAGACAAAAGGGTTAGAAAATAAAAAGGTGGGGGCAATACTCTTGAACAAGCCCTATGTCTTCTTCATCTCACATGATTCCAACCAATATATAACACACAGCTTGCCTTTATACTCCCACTCACCACCCCATATTTTAAAAGTTAAAGTGGACCCATATTAAGGGCATATTTTAAAAACAATCATAATAATAATAATAATACATCTTTTGTTCTTAAGCACTTTTGCTTTTAATTCCCCTACCTCCCCTTTGGAGTATAGAGAATTTTACAAAAAATTTGCTTGTACTAAATCTGGGAAATCCTTGAAAATTTAGACAAAAGGAAGCGTTACATATTTATATGTTTAACAATTCAATTGTATGGTCAAAATCACCTTTAGTAAAGTCTTGGCTTTGCATCCCATATAAAAAGAAAAGGGAAAAAAAGACGGTACGAGTAATGATTTTCCAACGCTTCCACGAGCATCTTGGTCCACATCAAACATGCATAGAATATATTTTCCAAAGGTTATAATATGAAAGTATAGTATCAGTTCTTATCAGTTCAGTAACAGCAACTGTATGAAAGTGATTTATAGGCATTTCATCACTATCCAATTATCTATATTCTAATTAATAGATATCATTATCAATTTCTAAGGTTACTATATAGGGCTTCTTGTGCCTGACATTTGTAAATGCCGAACCACACACAACTTGTAGTATATTATCAATATAACATTGCAGCCACAGGGTTCGTTACAAGCCTCGGTGGATCCATCATTAGTTGTCTATTGACATCGATTGAAACTATTATCAACCAAATCTAAAATATATTATCCATACGTAAACAAAACGCTCTTGTTCTATTACGATACTTATTAAACTAAATATGTCACTCATGTGAACAACTATGCTTACGAATTCTGCGTTTTAGTGCTGCATCATATGATATCGATAATGTATTTTTCTTTTCTTGCCTTCGGTGCATTAACCAATATGATTTTCTAGTCACCTAATTAACGATAGAACCATGTAGAACAAAAGAATTAATAATATGAAAATAACAAATGACAAAATATTAACGTAAAAAACCCTAACAATATACATAAGTTGGTCAGTTTCGTTAATTATGTATGTTTATATTATTTTTGTGAGACAGGTGTACGAAGATGTTTTTTTTAATATAAGATAAATAGGAGGGATGAAACGAGTGTTCAAGTAAGGTAAATTTTTGACATGCATGCATACACGTTGTGTTTGGGAACAAGAATTAATGTATGCTAGCTGCCTGACATGAAAGATGCTTGATGGGAAGGAATCAAGAAAGTAAAGATGAAGGAGAAGGATAGATAAACGCTTCTGCCCTACAGCTTTCATGCACGCTCTTCCCTGCCATCTGTCGTAACAAATGCTTCATATCTACAACACTGTTGTAGCTTCATTCTCCAAAAAGACTAATCAAGTAACACCAAAGAATCAAAAATCGAGAATGAATCTACGATGATAATAATAGACGAGAGCCAGCTCTAATTCTGGGGACACATTCTATGTGCATCTTTTACAGTAATCAGTTCCATTGCACTTTTTTCATAATAACAGAAAGCAATATATGCATGGATATATAGAATATCTGTAGGTCATGAGTTCGACACGGTACAAAATGCTAGCCACGAAGGGTAAACAGAAGAGAGTACCATGAATTTGTCCTCCTTCTCCCTCCGTTGTTGTTGTTGTTGTTTTTGTCCGTTGTTCTTATCCTGAGTGATCACAAAATAACAAAGTTAAAGCTTGATTGAGATAGGATATCCAAAAATCCCCTTTGTCTCCGAATGATCGACGAGTGAGTTGGTTCCCATTTCCATGGGTCGTATAAAAGTATAATGTTGAAATGAACTCGTGTATATCGTAGCCATATATGACACTTTTACGGCATTCCACTCCATAAAATTCAAATGTTAACGCCAATATAGCGATAATATAGTGTCTCTGTCAATCACTATCTACGTGATTATACACAATATATTATTCTACAATTCACGAAAAACGCTAAAACTTCATCGTATAATTAATGTTATGGCACCTTTGTCCTAAGCCAACCCGACATAATGTTTGGAAGGTAATTGCTAAGAAGCCTCAACGTACTATATATCATTCTATAAAAAATAAAAATAAAAATTCAGGGAATCAAGCTTTTAAATTTTCTTAAGATGATATCCTGAGCAACTATTTCCATTTATTACATAAAAATACGTTCATTTGATGATGGCTTAATTTTTATTTTTTTTTTAGTTATTTGAAGAAATGACATCTGTTATTTTTTTTAAAAATATAAACCCAAATTAAGTATTTGAACTTCACATTGTACGTCCTTCTCCTTTGAATTCCAACTTCAAATATATATATATATATATATATATATATATATATATATATATATATATCTTTTGTATTTAATTTTTAATATTTTTACTGGAATGTATATATGATAAGTATATACGACGCATGAAATTAATCATTATGACATCAGAAAGAAAGACAAAATTAAATTGAATAAATTAACAGAGTGGTCATTAATTATTACTTAAAGAAAAGTAATTGGAAAAACCTTGAATTTTTGTAGAAATGGTGTTTGAGAAAGAGAGAGAGATTTTTCAAATGTCTGATTATGTACGGAGAAAAGTGAAAACTTATTTTGATTATCTCAAATACATACCTTAAAAAAACTACTCTTAGATAAACATCTAAACAGAAATAACTTATGACTTAAAACAAAGAAACTTCACATATAATAATAAGACCTCACACTTAAATCAG